ATATATATATATATATATATATATATATATATATATATATACATGCACATCTTTTGCGTATATATGTAGATGTACATATGTGCTGCAAATACTAGTATATATATATGTTTATAATCCTACGTGCATGAAAAGTGAGATATTGGCTAGTGAGGGCCCGGAAGTAGGCGTCAAACAATTGTCTGCAGTGTCGTCAGTGTGAGCGTCAAAAGAGGGTTTATTTGTTCTGTTGCTTGCATACGGGGCCCTTGCATGCAGCAGCAGTTGCAGCAAGAATGTGTGCTGCTGCAGCTGAGATGAAAGCATATCCCTTTTTGTCTGTTTCTGTGTCCATCTCTTTTCTTGTCTTTGTCTCTTTCTGTCTTGTTCTCTCTTTCTCTCTTTATATTTCCTTGTCTCTCTGTCTCCATTTCCTTTTTTGGGTCTTTTCCCCTTTTTCGCTTTTTTTGTCTTTGTCTCCTTTCATGCTTTTTCTTTCTTCACCTGACCATCCACCCCATTCGCTCTTTCTGCATGCAGAAGGGCACAGCAGGACGGAGTGGAGCTTCATAGAGCTGCTAATTAAACAGTAAGATGCTCTACTTTATATTGTACATTATATAATGTATAATTATACACTTCGTACGCCATATTATAAATTCTACATCGTATACCGCATGTTACATATCATTTATTTTGCATTATATGCCGTCTTGTATACTATACATAATATTTCATATATTGTATATATATCATATTCTAGGTTGCACACTATATATAATATTTGGTATATTTAAACATTCTCTTAGTGAAGCGTTATGTACGTTATACTAACACAGTACGATTTGTCTTATATATATATTTCCACAATGGAGAAAATGTTATTCTATTATATGATATGATAATTTATATTCCATTATTATAATGCAGTGTATGCTCATATTCTATTATAAAACACAGCAGATGCTGAAGTAACGAAATGGAGTGTACATTATATTGTAATATATTGTTCCCTTACAAAAACAAATGTATATATATATATTCTCTCCTATAAAAGCGTCATATGCATTGGCGTAGGCTATAATATTTTCTCTTTTATAAAAACATTGGGCAGAGTTTGTTAACGTTATATATTAAATAAAAATTTAAGAAGCATTTTTTGTCTTATGCCGTACTATACACAAGGGATATAAAAAGGCACCTTTTAATACAAAACGTACTAAGTAAACATTTAAAATACATATGCATATACATATATATATATTATATATATATATATATATATGCTATATACAATGTATATTTACTGACTACACTAATACACAATATATTAAACGTATACATGCAGCGAATTGCGGAGAAGGAAAAACCTTTCGTTATCCACTAAATTCACTGCTCAATGCCCTAATAGACCAACTAAAAACAAACTTTTGAGTTACTTTGGTGTATAGTTATTCAGTAGCACATCCAACGATCGCGTACTGTCTGAGTACAACCTCTTTGCATTGTTGCTCTTTAATAAGAGGGTACTTCGATTCAAAATAGACTAAAGTATATCAATAAAAGCAAACAAAGCAAAAGCAACATTAAAAGTATACTTTTGGGGTTATTAGAATACTTCTTTCTTCTATTTCACTACGGCTTCTTCTTAACAAGTCAAGATGTGTCTAATGTTGTCCGTGTGCACATTGAAGCAATTTGTTTGTTATTCTGAATAAAGAGGCCCAAACCATCTGTTTAAAGCACTAATGCATTTTATTTCCCCTTTTAAAAGCCTTTATTGCCTTATTTTTATCAAATTTTTAGCCATTTCGTTTTGCCGTGAAGCAGCAAACGACAAGGAAACACAGAACAAAGTTGCGAATAATCGGCGGAAGTTTGCGGTGTTTTTCATCTCATAGCCAGGCGATTATTGTGAATTTAGTTGACTCATTTATTTTCAAAATATAATTTTAATTAATTTATATTTATATTTATATTTCTAACTTTGTTAATTTTTTTGCACGCAGAGGCTGCAGCGGCGCCTCAGCCTCAGCGTTGGCCGTTCGGGGTCACTTTCCGCTGCCTTGCGTACTACTGCATCGACCTGAGTTGAAAAAACCTTAAAAAATAAGGTTTTTAATTAAATAAATTGCAAATAATGTTATAAAATAAAAATTTAAGTGGTATTAAGGGGGATTCCCTGTAGAATATTCGTCTCGCCCCCTCATCCATGGCTTCTTCAATTTACCAAATCATACTGAGATGTATGTCTGAGGTGTACGCATACCCCAATTTACTCTACCCTTTCTTAATCAAACCCAGCGCCACCCCATGGCAGCTACAGCCGCCCCCCTCCCCCGCCGCAGCCTGGCCAGCAATTCGGTAGAGGCAGCTGAAGGCACAGAACAGCAAACTCTGGTGCCCCCAGCAGCAGAAACAGCGGCAACGTCTGCTGCTGCTCCAGAAGTGGCAACAGCAGCAGGAGGGACAGCAGCGAGGCACAGCATCGTAGCAGCTGGAGGCACACCAGCGGCAGCAGGAGCAGCAGCGGCTGTAGTTGCATCGGTGGCAGCCCAGCGGAGATTTAGCGCTGCAGAGTTGGCGCTTTCTGCTTCTCGTCGTCCCCTCTTTTTAACTTTTTCTCTGCTCTGTGCCTCGGATGCTGCAGCGCTTCTGCAGCAGAAGGACAACGTCCGCCTCGCCAGGCAGCTAGATGAGCTGCTGCAGCTGCACGAATTTGTCGTGCTGCTGCGGCAGCCCCCACAAAGGCCTTCTCTGCCAGGCCCCTTTAGCTGCAGCAGCAGCAGCAGCAACAGCAGCAGCGCGGATTTCGCTGGGCAACTCGAATCAGCGGAAGACAGCGGTGAAAAGGATGCACTGGCCGTCAGTTGCAGCAGCAGCAGCAGCAACAGCAGCAACAGAAAGAGCATCGGTCCAGCCGGGGCTGCAGCAGGGAGAGCGCTCCCATTAGAGGAATGCCGAGAGGAGGAGGCAGCAGAGACACACCGTCTATCCGGGGTCGACAGCTCCCTTACTGAAGCTGCTGCTGTTGTTGCTGCTGCTGATACTCCTTCCCCCACTAGCCTCGACGCAGTCAGCACACTCAAACAGCCGCAGCACCAACAGCAGCAGCAGCACCAGCAGTACCTGGAGATGTTGCGGCAGCAGGAAGAGGAGGCAACAGCAGCAGCTCATTTGGTAGTCGTGGAGTACTTCGTTGCAGCTGTTGCCTTCAGTCGAAGCAGCGAGTTAACACCGCGCGCTGTCTCTGCTTTCTTAGCCCTGCTGCTTCGGGTGTACAGGCAGGCGGTGCAGCAGCAGCTGTCTCCTGCTGCTGCATTTGATGCATTCAAGTCTCTGCTGCTGCAGCACTCAGTGCACAGACCCCCCCGCTCTACTGCTGTCTTCTACCCCAAGCAACTCCTCCCTGCTGCTGAGTTCTTTCTGCAGCATTTCGTTCGCCTGCTGCCCCACCTGCAGCAGCTCCACTCCCCGCAGCTGAAGCAACTGCTGCAGCAGCTGCAACAGCCCCAGCTGGTGCTGCTGCAGTAAACAGCAGCAGCAGCACTGGGCTGCAGCAGCTGCAGCAGCAGCGGCTGCTGCTACACCAGACGCTGCTGGATTGCGCTGTCGTAGCAGCGCTGTTCCAGATGCACACGACTGCATGATCCCGCAGCGCTAGCAGCAGCAGCAGCAGCAGCAAGAGCAGCAGCAAGAGCAGCAGCAGCAGCAGCAATAAGAAGTGCTTGCTTTTGGCAGCAAGCAAACGAATGAAAGAAACAAAGACAACGAAGAAGTTCCTTTTGTTTCATCTCCCCCAGAAAGCACCACGCAGCAATTTTTGTATATATTACACATATAATATAATATATAAAAAATATGCACAATATATATAAACCCAACAAAATATAGATGATAAAGAATATATACACAGTAACTATTCTATATACAATATACATAAAATATATATAAGATATATATAATACAAAGAATTGTGTGTTGTTTATTTACACGTCTTTATTTTTAGTGTATTTCACACGTAAGCCGCAAGCACAACAGGCCCATCAGACCCTGCTGCTGCTGCAACTGCTGCTGCAGCAACTGCTGCTGCTGCAACTGCTGCTGAAGTTACTGCTGCTCCAGCAACTGCTGCTGAAGCAATTGCTGCTGCTGCAAATAGTACTGCTGCAACTGCTGCTGCTCCCACTGTTGCCGCAGCAACTCTTGCTGCTGCAATTGAGGAGCAGCAGCACCTAAGGGTATTTGTTTATCGATTTATTTATTTATTTGTTTATTTATTTGCTTAGTTTGAAGTTTAGAGTTCTCCGCACTCGGTGATGGTAATCTCAACGCGCGGCTTCCCCTGGGCATCCGTAGAGACGTGCTCAATCTTACGCAACACCTGCAGCAGCAGCACTAGCTGTGGTTGTTGGATAAATACCCCCAGACTCCGCACGCAACAGAAGCAGCAGCAGCAGCAACAGCACCACCAGCAACATCAACAACAGCATGAGGAGCAGGAACAGCAACAACATTAGCACCAGGAGCTACAGCATTAGCATTAGCAGCAGCAGCAGCAGCAGGAGTTTGTACTTGGTAGGAGTCCCTGCCTATGACCTGTCCGAAGACATCGTTGCGGCCGTCGAGCCAAAGACAGGGGCCGCAGGTGATGAAGAACTGACAACCGTTGGTGCCGCTCCTTTGCTGCTGCTCCTGCTGCTGCTGCTGTTGCTGTTTGCTGCTGGCAGCAGCACTGTTTGCCATGCAGAGGAGGCCCGCACGGAAGTGCGGCACGCAACCTGCAGCAATTGCTTTTGCTGCTGCTGCTGTTGCTGCAGCACCACTTAAACCCTGAATTGTCTCAGGCATAGCAGCAGACTCCAGAGGAAAGCTGCTACCGTAAATGCTCATACTCCCGCTGCCGTCGCCCTTCACAAAGTCCCCACCCTGCAGCAGCAGCAGCAGCAGCACAAGCAGCGGCAATAGCAACAGCAGGGAAAGGTAATGCGACAGGCGTCTTCCAGCAGAGGCAAGCAGAGAAGAAATACCAGAAAGGCAACACCATCCAATGCACGAAATCCACCAACACCAGCAAGCACCACAGCAGCAGCAGCCAAGAGAGCAGCAGCAGCAAAAACAGCAGCAGCAACAGCAAAGGCAGCAGCAGCAGCAACGCACGTGAACCATGAATCCCTTGAGGACTCTGTGGAATGTCACATTTTTGTAGCCGACGGGGACCGAATTCATCTTGAATTCCCCTGCAACACAAACCCTAAACCCTAAACCCTTAACCCTAAACCCTAAACGCTGGAGCAAATAAGGGCGCCCCTGCTGCTGCAGCTGCAACTCTAGCAGACACTCAAGCGCTGCAGCAGCACCAAAGTGAGCGCCAGCCGCAGCAGGCATTGCAGCATCAGCATTCAAACAGAACCATGACCAACAGCAGCACAACCAGCAGCAACGCGCGCAGCAGCCCGAGCAGCAGCATCGTGGGGAGCAGCAGCAGCATCCTAAGGAGCACCAGCATCCTGAGGAGTAGGGGCAGCAGCAGCGTACTCAGCAACAGCAGCAGCCTCAGCAGCATCCTCAGCAGCAGTAGCAGAGCAGCAGCATAGCAGCAGGAGCAGCACAGCAGCAGCAAGGCATTATTATTGACCTGTGCAGAATTGTCTGAAGTTTTCTGCGCATTTCGGCATGAGGTGTTTGAACAGTTCAATTTTAATGCGGCCCATTGCATGCGACCCCACAGCAACATCAAGGAAGACAACAGGGTTTGAGGGGTTTGTTAAGGGCTTCACTCCTCCGCTGAGGGCTTCAGCATAAGAAAAGCCGCTTACATTTACCTCAAGACTCTCCTCAGACATCTTCTCAAAAGTATATACTCAATACGCAACACTAAAGTACAATAATCACACAGCCGCCAGAGGGCTGTTGATGCTGCTGCTGCTGCTGATGCTGCTGCTGATGCTGCTGCTGCTGATGCTACTGCAGATGCTGTTGCTGCTGTTGTTGTTCCCGCTGGTGCTGCTTTCCCTTTCTTTTCTTCTTCTTCTTCTTCTTCCCTTCGTTCTTCTCTTTGTTTTTCCCTTTCTATTTTTGTTTTCTTTTCTTGTATTTGCTGCTGTTTCGATATGTCTCTCCAACGCTGTTCTGCACGAAGCCCTGTGGCAGCCTCAGTCTCGGGGTTTGTTGGTTTGCAGTGGTATTTGTTTGACTTTGTTTTTGTTTGTTTTGTTTGCTTTAATGATATTTATTTGTTTTAATCGAATTTATTTGTTTTAGCTGGACTTGTATGTTTTGTGTTTATTCGTCTTTGTTGCTGCCGGCGGTGGCGGTGTTTATTGCTGTAAGTCAAGCAGAGAAAACAAGAGAAGAAGAGCAGCGGAAATAATAAACGAGGAAATAAACAAACAGATAAACAAATGTAAACAAACGATCAAATAAATATATAAACAAAATCCAGAGAAGTGAAGGGGGGGGGGAGAAGAGGTTCGAGGGGGAGTTGGTGCGAAACTCAAAAGAAATAAAATAAAATGTTTAATATTTCACCACATGCATTTAAATTCAAAATAATTAAGCGGAGAGAAACAGACAAAACGCATGCCGCTGCGCATGCAGCAGCTGCAGCAGCAGCAGCAGCCCCAGACGGGGCTGGGGCCCCGAAAGACAGTACAGCCCTCAACTATGAAAGTAGTTTATGAATTAATCTATTATTATTACTATTATTATTATTACTATTGTCATAACAGCATTTAATTGTGTAAATAAATAAATTGTTTATGATAATGGTAATAATAGTTTAAATATATCAATATAATAATGAACTCCCAATATTCTTCCTATAATGCTCATACAAAGTTTGTTGCTATGCCCTCCACCTTTTCTTCACCTATCCCAGTTAGCGGGAAAACATATAAATTACTATTATTATTATTATTATTATTATCACTATTACCATTATTGTTGTTTTTATTGTACGGATCCTATTGCTACCACTGCTGTTGTTACTACCATAGGCAAAACAGTAATTATTCTTATTACAAACAATGGCAACACGAACATGCAAATAAAGTGCGTTAAGTACAATATGAAGCAGACAAACCGTACCCTCCATTAACAACAGTCCCAGATAGCCGCAGCTAGCCGCAGCTAGCCGCCACTAGCCCCAGCTAGACCCATCTCGCTGCAGCTAGCCCGAGGTAGCCGTACGTAACCACAGCTAGCCCTAGGTAGCCCTAGGTAGCCCTAGGTAGCCGCAAGTAGCCTTAGGTAGCCCCAGCTAGCCACAGCTAACGGCAGCTAGCGGCAGCTAGCCACAGCTACCCTCAGCTAGCCGTCGGTAGCCCCAGATAGCCACAGTTAGTCATAGGTAGTCACAGCTAATCACAGCTAGCCACAGCTAGCCACAGCTAGCGGCTGCCAGCCACTGCCAGCCACAGCCAGCCACAGCTAGCCACACCCAGCAACAGCTAGCCACAGCTATCTGCAAGGCGGCCGAGCGAGGCAGGATGGCGAGGGCGTTTGTGCTGCTCCATTTCCTTCCGTTTGTCTTCCGTTAACCCGTCACAAGCAAACAACGAACGCGTTCAAACTTGAAAGCGCGCATGCAGCACCAGCAGTAACAGGACTGCGTCTAATGCAGCAGAGATCTGTTTGCTGCCGAAAGCAGCGGCAGTGGGTCCCCCTGCTTTTGGCTTTGTTTGTCTTCCGTTAAATTCATATTCAACAAAATAAAATTTTGATGTCTTGATTTATAGTTTTATATATTTATTAAATTAGTACAAATCCTCCACCAGGGCAAACAGAGAATCTTCAGGTCCCTCGAAGTCTCCTACGAGCAACGATAGAAGCCCTCCATCGTCTGCTGCTTGCTGCTGCTGCTGCTGCTGCTGCTGCAGTCTCTGCTCGTGCTGCTGCCGCCTTTGTCTGCGTTCGTTGGCTTCTGCTTCTGCTGCAGCAGCAGCAGCAGCTGCTGCTGCTGCCATTTCTGCTGCTGCCTCATTAGACTCGTGCCCAGCGCGCACATACAACAAGGAGTGTATATACACCCGAGAGGAGCCCTCACGCTTTTGCTGCTTCTTTTTTCTGTCGTCATCGTTTAGGGCTCTCAATAAAGAGTTGAAAGCCGCAGCCAGCTTCCCCCCTGCAGCAGCACCATAGGACACACACCTACGCTGTCAAGCAACAGCAACTGCAGCAGCAGCAGCAGCAGCAGCAACAGCAGCGGCAGCGGCAACCGCAGCAGTAACAGCAGCTTTCTACGAGCATTGAAAAACTGACAAACACCCCACAGGGCCAAAAAAAGAAGCAGCAGCAGCAAGGTACTCCTCTGTTCTCGTAGCGCTATCATCCACACAAGCAGGTGCAGCAGTAGCCGCAAGAGCAGCAGCAGCAGCAACAGCAACAACAGCAACAGCGCACCAATTCCTTGTTCTCTGGCTGCACTCTCTGAGTATGCATCTGGCGGTAGGGTGTGACTCCGTAATATCCCGTCTGCATCGTCGCTCTCCTCATCTGAAAGCTCATCTTCCTCTTCTGCTGCTGCTGCCGCTGCAGCAGCAGCAGCAAACGCCTCTGTTCGTGCATCGCTGGCTTGAGGGCCCCCTATCTTGCAGCTGCAACAGGAACAGGGAGAGCCCCCATCGCTAGCAGCAGCAGCAGCAGCAGCAACAACTGTTGCTGCTGCAGCTGCAGCAGCGACAGACGACGCCGCACCGCCTCGCTGGCAATCGAGACGCGTCTGCTGCTGCAACATCTGCTGCACTCTGTTTGTAGACAGGCCTTGCTTCTTCCTGCACGCGTCAATAAAGGCATCTATAGCACTGCTGCTGCTGCTGCTGCTGCTACTGCTGGTGAGTTGATGCTGCTGAGTTTCCTCCCGTTCCCTTTCAACCGCCTGCAGCGTGGCTGCAGTGAGCTGCACGCTGCTGCTGCTGCTGCTGCTGTTGTTGTTGTTGCTGCAGTTGACGGAATGTATGTTGCTGCCTTGTTTGTACTTGAAGCTCTGGAGGACAAAGCCATGCTGCTGCAGGAAGACAGTAAGGGGGTAAAATGCAGCGAAAGGGTTTTCTTGTAGAGTAATACCAGATGAGCATAATACTTCAATTGTACTTAGAGTTAAATGAAAATCTGAGATAATTGTCTGCAAATTAAACAGCAGCAAACCCTGCAAGTGAAACGCCTCCATTGCTTCAGGGCTCGCGCCTTCTAAGTCAAGAGCATCCACATCTCCTGCTGCTGCTGCTGCTGCTGCTGCGGTAGGTGTCGCTGGCCATTCTTCTGAGAGCTCTTCCAACTCCCCGTCTTCTCCCTCCCCGCCCCTCCCCTCCCCTTGCTGCTGCTGCTGCTGCTGCTGGAGGTGTGCGTTGAGTAGCAGGAAGCCAGATATCCGGAGGAGACGCAGGGGGGGTCTATTCCAAGGGGGGAGATCAGCGAGATAAGAATAAGCAGCAAGAAAAAGAATATCATGAATAAGAAGACGAAAAGGCACCTCAAGGCCCTGCAGCCGTGGATACAGCGCAGCATCCTCACATACGTGCTGCAGCAGCAGCTGATCGTACAGCGGCAAGGCGAAGCAAGGAAGCCGCTGCAGCAGCAGCAACGCTGGCTGCAGCAACGGGTGCTGCTGCAGGCTTCCAGGCTTGCTATAGTCAAGATATAAGTCAAACGTAGGCAATGCATGCGCAGCAGCCCCCAACTCTAATAAAGCCCGTGCCTCTAGCCGAGGGTCCTCTCGAAACCGTGTTGCTAATGCTGCTGCTAGTGCTTCCTGCATGTGCTGCTGCTGCTGCAGCGGCAGGCCCATGTGCACAGCAGACAACTGCTGCACTACGTAAGGAGAACCGCCATCCAAAACGCCTCTGCCGCCGCTGCTGCTGCTGCTACTGCTGCTGCTGCTGCTGCTGGGCTGCGACCACACGCCCGAAATGCCTGCTGCAAGCAGCTGGTCCTCAAGGCAGCCACGTGAGAACTCGATGTTGTTGCTGCCACCGCTGCTGCTGCTGCTGTTGCTGCGCAGGCAGCAGCAAGATCCGCAGCAACAACGACACCCCCGCACTGTCTCAGTCACTTGCCTGTTGTCGCTCCATTTGCTGCTGCTGCTGCTGCTGCTGATGTTGCTGCTGCTGTTGCTGCTGCTGTTGTTGCTGCTGCTGCAGCAGTTACTACTACTCCTGCCGCTGTCGCTGGAGGGCTGGCGGCTTGGGGCTGTAGCGGATGCCACAGCAGCAGCACCAGCACCAGCTTCTGCTGCTGCTGCAGCAGACTGGGGCCTCAGCAGCGGGAGGGCTTGTCGCAAAGAGCAGGAGGGGCAGCAACAACAGCAGCAGCAGCGTTTTCCGCTGGCCCTGCAACGACTACGGGCAAATGTTTGCTGCAGGTCATCGAAAGGTACGCGCTGCAGCAGGAGGTTTTGCTGCTGGGAACTCCCATTACCTGCTGCAGCAGCTGCTGCTGCTGCTCTAGCAGATACAGCCACAGAGTCTGGCATACAGCGCAGCCACACATCTGCTGCAGCTGCAGCGGAGACAGGCCTATCCGGGCTCCCTCTCCTGCTGCTGTTGCTCCTGCTCGTGCTGCTGCTGGTGGGGCTGCTGCTCATCTCGCTACTTCTGCTCCTGAATATCCTGGCGCTGCTTCTTCTGCTGCTCCTGCTGCTGCCCCCCGCTTCCCGCCAACTGCTTCCACGTCCTCGTAGGATTTGTAGTTGCTGCTGCTGCTGCAGCTCCACTAATGAAGCGTCGGAATGTTGGCTGGTGCTGCTGCTACCATCGCTACCGTTGCTCCTGCTGCTCTTGCTGCTGCTCCTGCTGCTGCTCTTGCTGCTGCTCCTGCTGCTGCTGCTGAACGGCGTGGCGGCAAGAACCTCTTCTTCTCCCTCGTTGCTGCTGTTCGAATACTTATTGCTGCTGTTACTGCTGTCGGGGCTGCTGTTCCTGCTGCTGCTAATGTTGCTGATACTGCTGCTGTTCCTGCTGGTGCTACCGTTGCTGCAACCGTGTTTGCCGTTGCTGTTACAGCTGCTCTTGCTGCTGCTGCCGCTTCCGTTGCTGTATGTGCTTTCGCTGCTAACGCCGCGGCTGCTGCTTAAGAGTAGCGCCTCCTCCCCTTCGTCGCTGTTGCTGCTGCTGCTGTTGTTGCTGCTGCTGTTGCTGGTGTTTTTGCTGCTGCTGCTCATGCCGCTCATCTCCATACAGGCAGCCGCGCTGGTTGTCTTGGTATGAAGAAGAATCCTCCCTGTTTTAGTTGCTGCTGCTGCTGCTACTGCTGCTGCTGTTGCTCTTTAGGCGGCTGCCTTTGCTGTTGTTGTTGCTGCCGCTGTTGTTGGTGGTCGTTTGGCGGATTGTGCACTCGAACGATTCTCTCCTGCTGCTGCACTCACTTCTGCAGCGGCTGCTGCTGCTGTGAGGGCAGTGGCCGAGGCGCCCTTAAGGAAGCAATAGCAGCAGCAACTGCAGCAGCAGCAGATGCACGTGCTCACTGCAGCTGGGGCTCAGTAGATTAGGAGAAGGGAATTTCTAAGGCTGAAGCCACGCGAAGGCTCACGTGGCAGTCTCGATGCGAGACAGCTGCTGCTGGTCCAGCTGCTGCTGCTGCTGCTGCTGCTGCTCCTGCTGCTCGTGCTGCTGCTGCTGCTTGGAGGGTGGGGCTGACCCAGCAGCAACAACACCTCAAGCAAAAGAGGATTTATCCTCTACAGCAACTTCTTTCAATGTTCGCAGCAAAACTGAAGGGGCTTCAAGGGCTTGGCTAGCCGGCGGTGACTGCTGCTGCTGCTGCTGCTGTTGTGGCTGCTGCTGCTGCTCTCCAGCTAAAGGCACTCCGCACAAAGCAATTATAACAACTTCTTGAGTCATAATGGACTGTTAAGATAACGAAAAACAGTCAACAGTAGCACGGGCTTAGACCTTGCCACAGCTGCGGCCGGACCAACAGGGCAGCAGCAGCAGCAGCAGCAGCGGCTGCTGCTGCTGCTGCTGCTGCTGCTGCCAACACAGACCCCACTGTGTCGGCCCAGGCAGTGCTGCAGCATCCATTCAAACCGCAGCATCTTCGCCTATTGACGATTTATTTCCATTTAATAAATTTTTACGCAGAGATCTGCAGATTTAAAGACCGGCTGAGCCCCCTTACTCGCTCAGACACCAGCAGCAGCAACAGCAGCAGCGGCAACGGCGATTTTCCTACTTGGCTGCTGCTGCTCTAAATACTCTTTGCTGCCTCCCCACCCTTAACACCCTTAATCACAGCGCAGACTCAGGGAGCCCCAGCACCCGTACACAGGGAGCCCAGCAGCACCACCAGCAGCAGCGGAAATAGTAGCAGCCGCCGCAGCAGCAGCAGTAACAGCACGAGTACCAGCAGCCGCTCATCAAGGCCGGAAAGGCCTTCCCGGAGCTTGCCGCTGTCAGCCGTTGTAGGTGCAGCTGCGGCTGCTACAGCTGCGGCAGCTGGCTGCTGCAGCTACGGCTGCTGCGGCTGCTGCTGCTCCTGCTGCTGCTTGTGCTGCTGCTATTAGGGGGCGATGCGATGCGGCGTCTTCCTTCTTGTGTGCCTCTCCCAGGCCAGCTCATTGGACCCCTTGAGGCTTACTGCAGGTACACCAAGTGCTACTGCTGCTGCTGCCGTCTGCGGCTGCTCCTGTTGCAAGAGGCAGCTGCAGCCATCTTCATGAACCCCTTTTTATCTCACAGTATTTGTATTTAGTGCCCAATTTTGCTGCTTTTGAAATGAAGGGAGGGCAGCAGACAAGTATTTCTCTGGTGCGGCTGGTGCACCCAGTTTAGCGGAAGTTGCTGCTTTTGCTGCTGCTGCTGCTGTGCGTGTGCAGCGAGCAGTTTGGCTGGCTGCAGTGTTCTGAAATCGCCCACTTTTTTGCTGAGCTGCAGCGCCTCAGAGATGCTGTCGTTGCTATCCTCACTCGTAAGCCGCAGCGGCAGCTGCAGCAGAAGCAGCGGGAGCAGGAGCAGCGACGGCAGATGCAGCAACAGCAGCAAAAGCAGCAGCACGTTGTGCGCAAGGCGTTAGCGGAGCCGGCAGCGGCGCTACGTTGTATAAAGTGATGCAGTGACAGTTTTGTGTGGTTGTTGCTGCTTTTGCTGCTGCTGCTGCTGCTCTTCAGCAAGGAGCGCATCTGATGAAGCAGCAGCTCGTCTGACTGAGTACGGCTGTCTCCTCCGCGCTGTCTCCTCTCGTTTGTCTGGGGGCCCCCAAGGGGTTCTCTCAGGGTCTGTGCTGCGGCTGCAGCTGCCTTGGTTGTGTTCTTTCTTCTATCCGAGCAGCAGCAGCAGCAGCAACAATGGTAATAGTAATGGCAATGGTAGCAGTAGTTTGTGGGGAGGGAAGGGGGGCAGTCAGGCGGGAGTACGAAGTGTATGTACACTTGAAGAAGAACTCTGCTGCTGCATATTGGCTATAGCAGCGCTGCAACACAACAAAGCGGTGCTGCTGCAGCGTAGAGATGGGGGGCATTTTAAAGAGGCTGTCAGTGGCTTCTCTCAGGTTTGTCTTTGTTTGTTCTTTCTTCTTTATTCTCTTCTTGTGTTTTGTTGTTTGTTTGTTCTTTCTTCTTTATTGTTTTGTTGTGTTTGTCGCCCGTTTGTTGTATCTTCCTTATTCATTTCTTGTGTATTGTTTCTTGTTTCTTGTTTGTTTTGTACACCTCAGTCTCTGTTTCTGTTCTTTGTTTATATACCTCTGTCTATCTTTGTTTCTCTCTGCGTATACATAGGCCTCTGCCCTTGTCCGTGTCTTTATATACCTCTGTCTCTATCTTTTGCTCTGTTGCTGTCTTTGCCTCTGTCTTTCTATGTCTCAGTCTCTGTCTTTGTCTGCATATACTATTAGCGTGTGTCTGTCTCTCTTGTTTCTGTTTGTCTGTCTATGTCTCCCTATCTCTGTCTCTGCGTCTGTCTCTCTTTCTGTTTATATGTTTACTTTTGCTTTCGTTCTGTTCACTTGTTGTTTATTTTGTGTTTTGTTTGTTGGCGTCTCTCTCTGCTTGTTGTTGTTTTGTTTAGTTTTCTATATTCTCCTTGTCTCTGTCTTTCCTTGTCTCCCATCTGTTTTTATTTGTCTTGCTCGTGCTCCTTCTTCTCTGTCTCCGCTCCTTTAACCCCGATGCTGCTGCTGTTGCTGCTGCTGCTGTTGCTCAGGCGGCTTCTCTCTTTCGACTGGCGGAGTCTCTGTCTCCTTCAGGACATCCGTTTCATTTCGATGCGAAGGCATCTGCCGCATTCTCTCTCGCTCACGTATGTACATACACCCCATCATCAGCTGTACCCCATCACCAGCTGTACATACGCCGCAAGCAGCACCAGTTGTACATACACCTCAAGCAGTACCAGCTGTACACACACCGCAAGCGGCACCAGCTGTACATGCACCCCATGCATCAGCTGTCCATACACCGCATGCGGCAGCAGCTGTGCATACACTGCAAGCGGAAGCAGCTGTACATACACCGCATGCAGCAGATGCTATACATACACCGGCCCTTTGAGGAGCCTCGACTGCAGCGCATGCAACTGCTAACCAAAGCAGAGTAGCATCCGCCGCAGCAGCCGAAACGGCAGCAGCAATACCAGCAGCAACAACAACACCAGCAGCAGCAGCAGCAGAAGCAGTGGCAGCAGCAATAGCTGACCTGCTTGTAGACGGGGCTGGGGGGCGGGGGCGGGCGGGGTAGAGTGGGTGCGCATCTCCCATTCTTTAGTTGCTGCTGCTATTCTTGCGGTTTGCTGTTGTTGCTGCTGATGCTATTGTTGCTGCTACTGCTGGTGCTGTTGCCGCTGCTGCTGCTGCTGCACAGGCCCAGTCTGTTTGTTATGAGGTCGCTTCAAGAGAAAGCATGAGCCTTTCCTTTCGCTCCAAGCTGGCTGCACACGCCGCCACTCTGTTTGCTGCTGCTGCTGAGGGGCTGCAGGAAGTGCAGCAGAAATTCCCTGCGGAGTCCTCTCTCATACCATGTCAGTCCCCCTCACTGCAGCAGGAACCGCAGAAGCTGCTGCTGCAGCTGCTGCCTCACCTGCTGCTGCAGCTGTTGTTTTTTCTGTAGCTGTTGCTGCCGCTGCTGTTGTTGCTGATGGTGTTGCTGCTTCAGCTGCTGCTTTTCTTGCCTTTGCTGAGCTGCTGCTGCCGGAGGGCTGCGGCTGGTGATTCTTGTGCTGCTGCTACAATTCGCTGTGTTGCTGCAGCACTGCAGCGCACCAGCAAGGCGACGGAGGCCGTGGCGCTGGGGGGATGGTGCAGGCAAGCCTTGGGTGCTACCGCGGCGGCTGCTGCTGCTGTTGCTGAGGTTGCTGTTGCTGGAGCCTTAGACAAGCACTGGCTGGCACAGCCATAGGCATCAACCTGCTGCTATTCGTGCTGTTTGCTGCTGCTGCTGCTTCTGATGCTCCTGCTGCTGCAGGTGCCAGGAGCTCTGCTTCTTAGCCATAGCGCATCTGCAGCTGGCGCTGCAGCAGAAGCAGCTCGCGGAGGCCGAAGGTATGTAATGCGGGTTGCCTTGCTTTGTTGTTGCTGATGCTGCTGCATGCACTTTTGCTGCTGCTGGATGCACTCTTGCTGCCGCTGGTGGTGCTGCTGCTGCAGGAGAAGGGTTTGGTCTGCTTGTGGCCCGCACGATGCTGGCAGCAGATTTTGTCTCAAAGGCGGAAGCAGCAGCAGCAGCAGCAGCAGCAAGGAGCCCCGACGCCCCCAGGCTGCAGACGTCTAAGCTCCGCGCTGCCGTTGATGCCCTTCTTAACACAGCGAAGAGAGACAACCAGCTGGTGCGCTGCTGCCGCCGTTGCTGCTTCTGCTGCTGTTGCTGCTGCAGTGCAGCAGGCGCAGCGGTGCCTGCTGGTCTCTCTCCAGTTGGAGCAGCAACACCTGTGACAGAAATGCGACGGGCGTTCGCTGCACCGCGTCACGCTTCTGCTGGCGCTGGTGCTGTTTCTGCTGCTGCTGTTCCCTTCAGGTGTACATGGAGCCCGTGCCCCCTACTGCTGCACTCCCACCTCTGGAGGAGAGTTCGGGCCTGCGAGGGACAGTGCAGGTGTCTCTGCAGGTGGGCACACCAGCAAGGTGCTCCTGTTGCTGCTGCTGCTGCTGCTGCTACCTTTGTTGTTGGTGCTGCTGCGCCGGTAGCTGCTGCGCTTCGCTCGGCTGCTGCATGCACGGATGCTGTCTATGGTTGCTTATGGAGGGTGTGTTGCGTTTACGTACTGCCTCGATTACGTCGCATCTGCTGCTGCTGTTGCTGCTGCGCAGCAGGTGCTTCCGCCCAACCGCCGCGCAGAACAGCAGCTCAGCGCGTTGCTGCCAGCGGGGGTGCGTGCCCTGGCAGACGAGTACGAGGCGCTGTACGTACACCCCAACAGCACTACCGTTGTGGCTGCTGTCGCTGCAGCACTGCAGCCCGTAGCCCTGTTGCTGCTGTGGCTATTATTTTGCTGCTTGCTGCTGCTGTTGCTGCTGCTGCGTTCTCGCGAGCTGTTGCTGCCCCCTACGTTAAATCTGCCGTAATCAGAGTTTCTGGCAGCAGCATCAATAGCAGCAGCAGCAGCATCAATAGCACCAGCAGCAGCAAGCAAGAGCAGCAGCAGCAGCAGCAGCAGCAGCAGCAGCAGTATGTGCTTGGGTGGGATGTACAGGTATCAGTCAGTGACGGCCCAAGTGAACACCGAAGCAGATGATCTCCTTTCTCAAGTTGCTGCCTTTCTACAGAAGGAACAGCTGCCGAGTGCACTGCGCAGCAGGTTGTCTGCACAGCAGCAACAGCAGCAGCAGCAGCAGCAGCAGCAGCAGCAAGGCTACGACGGATGGAAGGAGGAACAGGAGCAAATCCCCCCCCAACTTATCAACGGAGGTGGTCGCCCCGACTACCGCTTCGAGTTTTCTACTGCATGCAGTCACGAGCTACTGGTATCTCCCTGCTACTGCTGCTGGTGTTGCTGCTGCAGCGTTGCAGTTGTGTTGAAGCCGCAGGCAAGGGTTTGCATTGGTGCGCGTTTTCTGCTGCTGCTGCTGATGCTGTAGTCTGTGCAGTCGCTTGGAGGGCCTCAGCGGCTGAGGCAGCAGCAGCAAGTGTTAGAACGTCTGTCTGCAGATGCTGCAGCACAGCTGAACACAGTGCAGCACCAACTTCAGAGCCAACTAGACCTGCTGCTGCAGCAGCGCCAGCAGCAGCAGCAGCAGCAGCAGCAGCAGCCCGGTGCCAGTGAAGGCGACACCTTCCAGCAGCAGCAGTTACAGCAGCAGCAACAGCAGCAGCAGAAGCAGCAGCTGATGGCTCTAGAAAGCAAAACACAAGAGTTGATAGAATGCGCGCGTCTATACACGACGAAATTATTGGTGAGCCGCTGTTGCTTTGCGGCTGCTGGCTCTGTTTCAATTGCTGGTGCAGCTGTCTCTCCAAACTCCCAGGTAGCTGCAGCAGCGGCAGCAGCAGCAGTGGCAGCAAGGCGGCATTCTATGTTTGCGTGCGGCTGCTGTCTGCAGCAAGCGCAGCAAGCAAACGAGATGATAGGCACCAAAACGTTTTCCGCCCTCGGTTCGCTGCAGCTGCCGCCAAGTGTACATACACCTCAACGAATTGCACATCCCGCTGCTGCTGCTTCGGATGGTGTTTCTCCTTCAACGCCCACACTGGAGCAGCTGCTCTGCCTGACGAAGGAAGGCGCGGAGGGGCTCTTGCAGAAGCTGCTGCTACAGCTGCAGCTCTCAGGGGCAGACAGAAAGCAGCAGCTGCTGCTGCAGCAGCGTCTGGATGCGGCACACTCAGCCCTTGTCGAACTAGAGGCTCGGATTTACATTCTGCAGGAGGAGCAGCACAAGCTTTGCCAGGTATCCTGTTTGTTGTTGCTGCTGCGTCTGCTGCTACTGCTGGCGGGCTTGTGCTGTTGCGCTTGCTGCGGCTGCGAATGTTGCTGCTGCTGCGGTGCTAATAAGCCTGCTGCTGCTGCTGCTGTCCTGCCATTGATGATGCCTCGCGCTGGGCTTGTGGCTGCTGCAGTCTGAGGAGTTGCTGCCGGAGCACATACTGCAGCAGCTGCGGCAAGCAGCAGCAGCAGCAGCAGCGAGCAGCAACTCAGCTGCAAGTGTGTGCACAACAGCAGCTTCCGCCAGCCTTCGAGGGTCAGCCAAAAAGACCAGAGAAATGATGAAGTACGTTTAACTCCAGAACGCTGCTGCGGCTGCCGCGTGGCCATTGCAGCAAGACAGGCTGCTACCTGCGCTGCCGGTACAGCCATGAATGCAGTTTGGCTGCTACTGCTTTTGTTGTTGCTGCTCTTAGGGAGGTTGCCCGTCAGCTTGATGCGGCGCAGCAGCGTTGGTCTGAGCTGCTTGCTGCGGAGTCGGTGGAGCGCCAGCTGCAACAGCAGCAGCAGCAGCAGCGCGCAGCAGAGCTGCAGCAAGTAGTGCAGCAGCAAGCGTTCTGTCTCCGGAAGTCCTTCGACGAGCAGCAGCAGGGCATCGCCTTCTTCTCTCGTCTGCAAGGATTCCTGCAGCAGCTGCAGCAGCACCAGCAGCAGCTTCTCAGCGACATGCATGCGTGCATCCGTTTGGTCCACCAGCAACAGCAGCTGCAGCAGCAACTGCAACAGCAGCAGCTGCAGCAGCAGCATCTGGAGCAGCAGCAGCTGCAACAGCAGCAGCTGGAAAGCCTGCAGGAACAGCAGCAAGAAAAGCAGCAGCTGCTGCACAAGATGGAGCTGCAGCAGCAACAAGGCTATCAGCTCAGCCCCAGCCAAGTCCCCCAATGGCCTACGGTGGGCTCTCTAAGCACCAGAAGCGGTCGCAGCAGCGTCGGCAGCAGCAACAACAGCAGCAACAGCTACGGCAGCAACCCAGCAGCAGCAGCGAACTGGCGGAGGTGTAGCAGCGGGCCTCTTGTGCTTCCTGGGAGCAATCCGAGGCGATTGAGCAGCGCCTCTCACAGCAGACATAAGCAGCCTGTTGCTGCTGCTGCTCCATTAGGGCGTCATCCGCCCTTTCCGAGTCCCGACAGCAGCAGCGGCAGCGCCAGCAGCAGCAAAGCCCGTGGACCAGCAACAGCTGAGAGCCGCAGCAACTTAACCAACGCTACGGGCGCATCGTTCGCGTTGGCGCATTCACCTATAAGGCCTCGCACGCGGAGAAACAGCACGCCGTCAACGGGCAGCAGCCCAGCGGCAGTAGCAGAAGCAGCAGCAGCAAGGCCATGCGGAAGCCCCCCATTAACCCCTCCTGAGGTCGGTACGGTCTTCGGGGGGACCGAAACCCTAGGGGGCTCTTGTACACCGACTGCAGCAGCAGAAGCAGCAGCGTGCACCAACCAGCCGATATTTTGAGCAGCACTGACAGCTGCTGCTAAGGTGGTGTTGCTGCTGTCGGCTCATCTCTTGCCGACAGTTCATGACTCTATTACAGCTCAGCTACAGCCAGTGGGGAATGCAAAAAGGCTGTTTGCTGCTGCTGCTGCCGCCGCCGCAGCGGTGCTACTGGCACGTTTGTTTTTTAAACACGAAGGGTCCGTCCTATGTATGTATATAGTACACATAAATATATTTAATGCATAATTAAATATATTTCAGATTGTGTTCATGAACAGAAAAGATGCAGCGTCTCAGCAGGAAATCAAGCAGCACCACCAATTAGAGCAGCAGTAGCAGCTGTTGCCGCAGCAGCAGCAGCAGCACCTGCCAGGACCCGCCACGTCCCTCGGGAAGCTGAACAGCTGCTGGACTCTGGTGTTCCTGCAGCTCTTGCTGCTGCTGTTGCAAGCTACAACTGCGGGTTGTGCTGCCAGCAACCCCTAAAAATCTGCTGGAGCGGCTTGCCGCGCCTGCTGCTGTTTTGAATACTGCTGCTCTTGCTGCTGTTGCTGCTGTTCCTACGAGCGCAATGCCTCTTATCCAGAACAGCCGGTTGTCTTCCCTGCATATTCACACAGCGCCGACGGCGGCTTTAAACTGCAGGGGCCTCCAGATCGCGTTCAGTGCCTCCCAAGGTACGATTCAGATAGAGGGGCCCCGGGGCCCCTCTAAATCCTAAACTTATGCTGCTCAGTTGCTGCATTGAGGCCCCCTGGGCTGTCACTAGCTGCCGTATAGGGGCCCCGGGACTCGGGCGGGGCCCCCGAAAGCTGTACAGCCAGCAGCTAGCAGCTTCACGCCTCTGTGGCTGCCAACGCCGTCCAGGGAGGTCTGGTTTCGTATTTGCTTCGCACAAGCTCCGCATCAAGTGCAGAGCCTACTCCTGAGAGGCCAGAGAAAGAGACGAAGCGCTGCACATCGAAGGTGAATGCTGCAGGGCCTGTAACGGAACCTTCCGAGTCGCTGATGCTGCTGCTCCCCTGCTGCTGGCCATCGCACTTGCTAGACGGGGAAGAGGAGCTGTCTGGTTGGGATTCTGACGGGCTCTTGCGGGTTTGCTGCTGCTTCTTGGTTTGCTGCTGCTGTGGTTTGCTGCTAATCAGCTGAACTGCCGTTGCCAAGTCGGGGTCTTCGTCGAATGAGGGTACGCGCGTCCCCCGGGCCCTGCGGAGAGACGCACCTCCTTGCTGCGCTCGCAGCACGCGAGTAGAAACCCAGAGTTTGTTTTCTTCTTGCTTTGGAGGCGGTGCCTCCTCCTGAGACTGCTGCACATCAGCAGCAGCATCTTGCTGCGGCTCCAGCCCTTGTTCCAGCTGCTGCTGCAGCAGGAACTCCCGGGCCTCCTGCTCCCGCAGCTCCTGAAGACCCCTGCGCTGCTCCTCTTCCAAACGCTTCATGGTGCTCCAGCTCTTGTCTTTCTTGCTTTCGATTTCGTAAGCACCAACGGCGCTGACCCGCAGCGACCGCCCCACAGCGCTATCAGCTGCTCCTCCTCCTGCTGGGCTCGCTGGGGCAGCTGCCCATCCACCAGCGTCCTGCTGCAGCTCCAACGTCCATTCTGCACCGTCTTCTGCTATCGGCTCCTCGGCTTTCTCAATCTGAGTCAGCTGCAGCAAGAAACACCAGGCAAAACGGATAAAAAAGCAGCAAAACGCATGCACAAAGTAGTACTGCACCATGTGGAATACTGCAGCAATGGAAAAAACTGGAGGCGCTCGAACATCTAAGGGTTGTCGCAGCGGTAGAGGGCCCGAGTGTGGAAGTATTGGAAGGCAGCAGGAACGACGGGAGTGGAAATAAGTAAATGCCACTTCAAAGTGATTACAAAGAAAAGGCAAAAACAAAAGCAAACAAGGACCAAGACGCTCAATTCATCACATGATCGCCACTTGCCTTCCTGAATCAGGCGGCTGCGCAGGTGTCTGCCGGCCGGTCAATGGGTTTAACCTAGTAGTCAGACTTCTCCTTACCTCTGCAGGAGCAGCCACTTTTGTGACTTTCTTCTTTTTCTTCTCAAAGAAGGCGCTTAATTTGCTCATTCTGGCGGTCTTGTGTGCCCGCCGTACCACCCGTGGGCAATGCGACGCGATCAAGCAGAACAAACGAAGAAAGGACCTTCAAAGGAGCAATTCGTGTCCTTAAAAAACATAATTACATTCGTTATCCCAACTTAGAAAACAAAGCATACCCGATAAGAGATGCACGGTCCCCCGTCCTGCGCTGTTTCAAATTCGTTGGCGAGGGGCTGCTGTAGTGAGCTAAGCCCTGCATGGCCCCTACGTGCGTAACTCTAGCTAATTAGTAGTCCATTATCCCGGCGCTACAGTAATCAAACAAACATTAAAGGGTTAAAATCCCTTTCGTGATTGTCTGGGTTGTTTGCCTGGAAAAGAACTGTTATTCGTGGGCTGATGTCGGGGTGTCACCCGTGCCACTGCCAGCCCGAAACCCAGGCCCAGTTGCTGGGCCTCCTGTGTAGTCCGGTCCGCTAAGAGCATTTCCTCGTTTGATTTGCTTAAATGTAAACAATATTTACTTTTATTGTATGTTCTACGGCCCCTCTTGGTTGTTCCGAAGCAACGTTGTAGTGCTGCGCACTACAACCTCCCCCTCCCCCACATTTCTCCCACGAAGGCGGTTGTGATCTAAATTCAGCCGAGAACCAAGTGTCTAACCATTGAGTTAGCTTTTTTTAGTCTTAATGAATTAATTATGATAATTGCATCCTGTTGAGTCGGGGGAACGAAAGAAACCCTCATCAAAAGCGAAGGTGACGGCCAACTTGCACCCGGCTCGCCAGCCAGCGAGGCAAAAACACCCAAGGCGAAGAAGAGCGTTTCTGTAAATGCATATATATGATAACATCATGTGTAAAGTTTATTTGAATGCAACTGCATAACAGTTCATCCTCAGGACGCTGAACTGCTTGCTGGTGGCGCCTCTCTATAGAGACCTTACCTAAATCCGATGGCGGGGTGGAGTGGCCCACGCCCGCTGTTTCATGTTCCAAATAAATAAATGTTGTATCCGGACACTGCCGCCTGCAATATGAGAAGCCCACGCATTAGCTGTCTCAGGGTTTGTGTCGATTTTCTCAGCGAGTTCTACTGTTTGGTTTTAATCGCTCGTTAATCATCCGACTTAATTCTTACTTCTTTCTTTCCGAAGAACCCGCATCTACAAAGACAGTCTTTAGAATAGTGACGAGTCTCAGCGAACAAATGATATATCTGTGGCCACGGCATTTCACCCAGTTTTCTGCGTCTGGGCATGCTGTTGCACGTTGTCGGAAGATAGTGCATGCATTTCTACTTGTGGTTCTGTTTGCATCTCCTCTTTGGATGTACGGTGCACAAGAGCGTCTGCCGTTTCTCCGTAGAAAGTGCGCACATGCAGTATGGTCTGCCTGAGATTGGCGGCAGTATCGCTACTTGAGTGCAGGTTAGTTGCATTAGACCAAAAAGGTGCTTAGGAGTTGTTCACAGTGTAGTCGATACGCAAAAAGAGGGGTTGGATGTGCTCTCCTGTGCAGTTCCCAGGAGTTGCAGCAAAGACCGTGTTGTTTGTGCTGGGATGCCAACACGCAAAAGGCACGGTGCAGAGCGTCTTACAGGACGGGACAGGGTATGCTTGTGTATGCGCACCCAGTAGCCGTCAGGCGCCTGTAAACTTCCCTACTCCCTTGTCGCTTGGGGTGGGGTATTACATCCTCTGCCTAACGTTGCTGTTCTTCTTTTTGTTTGCTTGAGGGATGACTACTGGAGGACAGAGAAGTACTTAACGGTTGTCTACAGTACGGCTGCGTGGGGCTTTGGTATGCTTGCATGCGGTCTGGTCTTACACCACATTAGGTGCAGCAGGGTGTACTGCCACTCATGATAGCCTCCCTCCTCTGTGGTCAGTTGCATTTGGAGAATTCTTATTTTAGCATGTCAGAGCCACCCACTTCTATATTCTTTATTTATGTAGTGAAAAAAACGCCCAAATCTGTGTATCAATTCGTGGCTTCCAGGCATCGCAGCTCATGCCTTACGGGAAGAGAGGAGAGGGTGCATCCGTTTGCTTGCGCTGAATAATAGAAGCCCGTCGCTTTCAGCATTATTTACATATAAACTACCCAACATCCCTGCTGTATGAACATAAAGCTACTCCCTGGGTACAGAGCAGCGCATTAGGTGTAGAGATGTGTATGCGGAGCCCGGTGGCATTGAGGACACCGCAGGCCGTCAGTGTGGCAAGCCCACGCGAGATCCTTCCCTGGAGTTATCCGGTGAAGCATTTTGCCCTTTTATTCGCCCCTGACAGTGCTTTGCATTGGCGGGGCACCGAAAGCAACTCAACAAAACAGGATGGAAACCCTGGCTGAACAGGTAAACTCCCACTTGGATGCAAAGTTGCCAAAAAACGAGGGCCGCAGATGCAAAAATCAATATAATTTCCCGCGTCTGTTTTTAGTAGGGTAGCGAACGCGTTATTTGTGCCTAGTGTCAAGAACTTAACTGTTCAAATTCGTTTGCGTAGGGCGCCGGGTCATGTAGCATGCCCTGCACTGCACGCTAGGCACGGATAGCTCAGCCAAAAATAAATAAATGCCTACAGTAATTCGTTTAAAAGTGAATAAAATAAAGTAAAAAGACAGTTGAAAAGACAGGGACAAGTAGACCGCTCTCGCCCGCCTATCTGCTGCGCTGTCCGGTGGTCAGTGCAACCGTACTATGCGCTTGCTGCCGTCCCCTTCAGCGAATGTCTGGGGCTGTGTAGAGGGGTCCTCCGCTTCTTTATTTGGAGAATCTGCACACTAATTTACAAATGCAAAGCATTTAAAGTGCAGAGTGGTGTGATGGAATCCCCTTTCTGGTAAAACCGTAGGCCCTCACCCTCGAGGGAGGCGACGCGTTGCAGGTAACGAGAACTGAACGTGCGGGGTCACTCACGACTCGTCGCCACCCCGCCACAAGTGCAGAACGGGGTATATCCGTGTGTCTGTTTCAAGTCATTGCTCGTTTTCCACCTGGTTAGCTTTCTTTAGAACGCTGTTTTACCGTTTGCTAGTGAAGAGCGCCTGGTTTCAGCTGCACAAGAGGCACGTTGCCCGACGTTGACAGGTAGAGGTTGACAGGTTGTGCAGCGGCGCTCGCCGTGCAGTTTCCGGCCACTCTCTTGGGATATACATTGGGCCTTTAGCCAGGAAAGGATGGGGATTTTAAGGTGTGCTTGCTGCCTAGCTGTGGGAAGTGTGCCAACTGCGGCCTACGTCGAGGGTGCCACCAGCTCATCGCTCCTGGGCGCATTATTCCGCCCTCTGGACGCTTTGAACCTCCAATCTGCTCTGGGCCCATCCCCGAGCCTATTGAGAGGAGATCGGCCACCAGCAGTTGCTGAGCCGCGGCCGTTTCTCCCCATGCAGGGAGATATGTCTCTGCTGGACTCCGCCAACACATTGGAGCTTCTCACCAGCCTTAGACAGCCCCGTCAGCCACTGACGGAGTATTTGCAATGGAGAACTACGGGATTTTCAAGCAGGAAATTTACGATTGTGTCGGCCCTCTTCGGAGACGAAGCGGCCGACCAACGGCTCAAGGACGCATTTGGGCCGGTAATCGAGCACGAAAGCACCTGTTCCCCGCATAACCCATGCTGAGTTCAAATATGGACTGAAGCACCAGTTCTTCCCCTCCCCCATACCAGCTTCCCTGAAAATGCCTTGTTTTGCGATTCGCTGCAGCCAGGGACCACGCATGTGGAGCAAAAGGAAGAAGTCTCCATGCGTGACGCCAAAAGGCGTCCACACACATCCGACCCCCGGCTTCTCAGTGTAAATGAGGCGTTGGGCCTCCACGGTTTTCCTCCTTTGCCCTACTTACCGCCGTTTCTCAAAAGTGGTGCAAATGCGGTAAATGGCACCGACCCCATTGAGCAGCTGCTCGAACGCATCAACAGTGGCCACGGCCTTCCCGAGACCGTAATCAACGAATACTCGTCGGCAGAGTACAATTCCATCCGCCCCTCCTGGCACCTGCCTTCAACAACCAACCCGTCTCCGAACAAAGGCCTTGCCAACAGTCCATGGCCAATTCCCCACAGAAATAGTTCGGCCCAAGTAAGTCGGCGAGTTCTGCTCCACCAGCTTTGCAAAGAGAGTTGAGATGAGGGTTTGTTCTTGTTTTCCACCATGAACCTGAGGATTGTCTACATGTTTTCACTGCTTTTGTTGTTTCCTGTTGTTGGGGTTGCCACTGTTGCTGCTGTTGCTATTGCGTAGGGCAGCACGACGCTCCCGGGGCCAGACGGGACCCGCCGTCTGAGCCACAACTTTTTGAACCGGGCGATGGTAACCTCGAATCCAATCACTCTCTTTTACACCGCAGACGAGAAGTACCTCTGGGGAAGCAGTTGGACCACTATCTTTAAAGTTGCACGGACCAAAACCTCCTTGGCTGTTGTGGACTTCGTGCGGAAGAGAGTAGAAACCATCATGGAGGACAAGTTTCACGGGGCTTATGCGCTCCTCACGCAAGAGGTGAGATACATATGCTAGAGCAAAACAACAACTGGTGCAACTTGCGCCGATATTTGGCGTACGTCAACTGCGCTGGTGGGTAGGGACGGGAACATAGACTCCTTGTGCGCTTCTGTTGCCGGGGTCTGGCCCGTGTCAATGGAGCTCGCAGCTCACACAAGACCAATTTTGCAAAAAAAGCAAAGGAAAGCATTGCAGGATGATCACGCAGCCTTCTGTGTTGTGCGCCTATATCTACCAGAACGTGTTCGTCGTTTCGACAGGGAAACGGTTGGAGGCCTACTACGACTTGCCCAACTCCAATGGGGATCGTATTATGATGCACCCTGAGACCTTCACCCTTCAAGCAGGCCTTCAGAACCTTCAAGCGGAGGCGCCACGTCCTCAGGAAGTCTTCCGCGCCCTGTGCATGACCCATGATGGCCACATTGCTTGGGTACCTAAGAAGCACTTAGACATGTAATACGTTTGTCAGCGTTGCATGTTCATGAGTTGCCAAGTTCCTTCATAGTGATGTAGCAAGAGACCGAGAGCGTCCAGGTTGTCTCCACCTTTTTTGAAGCTGCAGTAACATAAGATGCCATTGAAACAAGGCATCCCCCCTTGTCTTAATACGACTGACGACAGTTCTTTCGACTGGCAAAAGTGCAGCTGGGTGTTTCTACAGATTCGCAGCTTTATTAGAAAGTCTTTAACATTGTGTGGTGAGGCTGTACAGGTGCATGTGCATTGTTCCTGTGCAGGTCACTGACGTAGGCCGCCTGGGTATATTGAGCCGTGACGTGAGGAATGGCGGCTTTCGCAAGGCTCTTGCCAGCCTGATGTTAGGAGCTGCAAAGCGTGAGGGGTCCCCGGCTAAGACGGACAAAACTTTAACTCCAGACGGCGTTTCAGGTCCACCAAACGGCTCATTCAGTGCTCCTGAGGATATTGAAGTGTCAAACAACATTGCTTGCGATGACCAAGGCGGAATTTATGTTGTGTCTTCCAAGTACATGCACAAGGCCGAATGGGACGGGGAAAAGCTTACTGTGATTTGGGAAGAGCCCTACGATCTTGAGCCAGGTCTAGGGGGAACTGCCCCCGTGCGCCTTGGCGAGGGTTCGGGAAGCACTCCCACTCTTATGGGCACTGCCAGTCGCCGCTATGTTGTCATTACAGACAGCGCAAAGCTCATGAACCTCGTAGTTATGGACGCACGGACGGGGAAGGTGGAGGCCCGGCACCCCATTACATTTGGTGATCCGACTGCAAAGGAGACGACGAGCGAACAGTCTGTTTTAGTACATGGCTGGCGTATGGCAGTTGTAAATAATCAGCCAACAGAAGAAACAAGAGTGTCTACCAATTTCTTACACTACCTGGGGAGCCCCACGACCTTTCTTGCAGGACTCAGTTCTTCAGGCAGCGCCTTGTCGCGGCTGAACGACACCGTTGCAGCGGCCTTCCCCGTCATCGTAGGGGACGCGCCCAAGGGCGTTGAGCAATTCGAGTACGACCCTGACACCAAGAAGATCCGCTCCGTTTGGGTGAACAAGGACGTTTCTATCCCCAACGGCATCCCCTCAATGAGCGCAAAGTCGCAACTCATGTACGGCGTAGGAAAACGATGTCCTCTTGGAGGCGAGGCCGCGCCGTTGAGAGGCATGTGGACCCTCGAGGCCCTCGACTGGTGGACAGGGGTCAGCAAATTCCACTACAACATAGGAGTGGGTCCGATGAGTAATTCGGTATATGCTGCCACGCAGATTGGGCCCAACGAAATCATAACTGGAACAGCCGGAGGAATAGTCAGGATAAGGGAAGCACTATAGAACCGATCCCTTGGGTAGTTTTAGGTGGTATGAGGAAACAGACCGCACGTATGAGGGTTTACATGTACCAGGGAAAGAACACCTTCCTTCAGAGTGGAAATACCACGATTGGGAGTGGCTCCGCTACCTGCATGATCCGTTTCTACATTTTTGATCAAAGCTTAGGGCGTCAGTGGTCCTCCTGCGACCGTTTGGTGCTTCTCCCTTGGCCAGCCAAGCTTTGTAGGGGAAGCAGCTTAGGCGGGCGTCCCAGCAGCCTGGTAGTCAAACTATGGCACAGTATAACGAAAAGGAAACACAATGGCATATTATGGATAGTTTGAGATCTGCAGTAGCTCCTTTTAATGCGGCAGGCTCCAAAAGCATATGGCTGTGTCAGCTTACGCGACTGGGCGAATGCTTTGGAGCACAGCTGCACACGTGTGTGTTGCATATGATCCATACGAGTGCCGGATGTGACTATTTACGCCGATGTACGTAAAAGACTCCCCTTTACAAACGACAGAGTGTGACTTTGCTCTATTTCGGTGTGTTCGAGGAGCTGGCCCCTCGGGTCCCTTACCATTTGAAGTATGCAGGTCCCCAAGTTCTTGTCAGGAGGCAAGAACTTGTTTTCGTTGCGAGGGCTGCCCTTCTAAGCGTTTTCGTGTAGTAAATGTGTCTAGTAAGAAGCTTATATGTATCACTGCTACACGCTATTCAGCGAGTTTTGGCCAGTTGCCAACGCATTTTGCAGTGCCTGTCCCCTCTTCGCACTGCCGCCAGGAATGCCAAGCCCCACTATTTCGGTGAAGCCGTCTAGTAGCAAGTGCCCTGAATGTAGATGGACCTAAATTACACATCATTTAGCGTTCCAGAGTCCGGTGGTCTCGCCCATGGAGCCCTACCTGTTCGGGCTAGTCCGCCACTAACTGCTCCTCTAAATCCCACCTCGAACTCACACGTCAGCCCAGCCCTCATGGGGCAGCTAACTGGCTGCAGAGCTTGCGTCGACGGACGAAGTCGGGTAGGAGATGCTCTCTGGAGCCGTCAACAATCATTTCATTAGCACAACTAAACCCCCACTATTAGCTGTTACGCAAGATTTGGCATGAGGTGGAGCGGGGGCCGCGCCAGGCTTTTTCGAGCACGCCGAATCTCCTGTAATGTGTTGTACAGCTTCGTTCCGTGGCAACTTTTGCACTTTATAGCGAGAGCACGAATATTCTTTGACCCGAAGTGGTCAGAGCTGATTGAAAAACAAGTTTTCGTCTTCAATGTAAGTACAAGACCCATACGGGACGGCGCCAGACCGCCACTGCACAATCTTCACAGACCACACTGGGTTAGATGTATGGTTCTTTTTGGTACAGAGGCTGCAGAAGGAGCAACTCCGCAGAAAACTGTGTATTTGGGTAAAATGGGTAGTCATATGCACAACTGGTGGCTCGTAGGCTACAGCATCCACCCTGGTAAATGCCATACTCAGCACATATTTAATGTCCATATTTTTCTTCGAAATTTTATAAGACGACGAGAACGTAACACCTTCATCACGTATTCTTGTCTACTAAGTAAACGGGAACTGGCGAACGATTCTACCGCGTCCACTTGCGTGGCCTATTGCTTTATCACCGTCGACAGTCAGTTCACCGAACATTTATTACACTTGTAATCAGGCTCCTTACCGCTGCCTCTCTTTCTTTACCAAGAACTGCAGTTCGCTACCTAACAGGAACCCGCTGTAGTGTGCAGATATTCAATGCCTTCTCTTAATCTTCAAGCAGGCGCAACTGCGGAAATACGCATAAAGAGCAAAGCCTACAAGAAGTTACAAGCCAACGGCATTCACATTTAAGCATAGAGAAGGAGAAAACTGTGTAATTCACTCAGCAGGCCAGCTAGTGTTGCCCTTATGTCTCCGGTCTTTCGTTGGCCCACTTGAAGGCCGAAACGCTGTACAAGCAAGCGTTGTCCTGAGGGTCCTACGAAACGTAGATAAACCACTTCTGCACTTTGTCAGAAGGGACTGTGTTTAAATATCTTCTCTCTCCTTATTCATCGTTTTTCCTTGACATTTTGTCTCCGTAGGTCAGCAGCCCCTTTGCTCGTGCGACTTCCGGCTGCCACACCGGAACATAGGAACCCAGAGCGACGCATGCCAAGGGCTTCCATTCGTTGAAGCATTTTTATGAAAATGTAAAACTGCGTGCAAAATATGCAGCAGACATCGACCTATGATGCCTCATACGTGCGGCGACGGCGGCGCCACAGCGGGGGAAAGTTGAATGTGCAACTCGGCAGAATCTGGCGGGCCGGGGGAGGTGATTGCTCCATATTGGATGCACAGAGTCTAACGCTTCCTTAATGCCAATTTTGGTCTTCTGTTTGACTTGATGGTCCCCTTGAAGCCCTTGGGGAGTGGCTAATTCCCAGCAGTTGCCGGCTCTTCAGTACATGCAGCCGGAGAGGCGGCTCAGCTTTCCTTCCTCCTGGCCCCTCTCTGGGCTCGTAACCTGTTGTTTGTCAGGCCGGGCTTCAAGAACTGACCCACTGGTGGAACTCTGTACAAGAGACAGGCGGCGCGAACGCAGCTGTAGCAGCAGGGGCAACACGGAGTGACGACGGCTTTTTGCCTTCAGAGCTGCAGCCAACACTGTGGCCGCCTCGAGGCGACCACCAGGTGCCATTAGAAGTAGCAAAAGAGAATAGGACGCCCAAGTCCTCCTCCCCCCTCTCCTACCGCAGCAAGCCCTAACCCAGCTGATGCGGCGTTGCGGAGCAGTTGAACTGGGAAGTCACCCGGCGTGTTAGTGCTCCAGGGAGCTCAGGCAATGTCAACAGGTGCTTCATCAGTGTAATATGTCCTCACAGCAGCAGCGGCACCTTCCCATACAGCCACTTCAACGGATCGCCCTGCTGTGTGTTGCGGGCCCCTGCAGGCATCTGGCGTTTGTTTCGAAGGGGTGGCGATGAAGGAGAGGGCGAGAAGAAGGCAACGCGTGCATACGTAAGTAGTTAACCCACAGATCTGTATGCATGCAGGAGCCAAAGCGCACAAGAGAGATCAGCAGGGGGATCCCGCAGAGTCTGTACCCCTTGCGATGTGTGCATGTATTGCCTTTGCTTAGCTCGGAGAGGAGAACCAGTTCTACTACAACAAAGAACTCAAGCGATGGCTCATCCGAGGCGAAGAACACCTTGCGCAGCAGCAGGAGACTCCACCCCCTCCCCCTGCTGCAGCTGCAACACCAGGAGGGCAGCAGCTTGACAAGGCGTCGCCAGCTGCGGGTGGCATTAGGCGAATGAGGTGAGTATAAAGCTTCAGGGAGATTGATCCTGGCATATTCTCTGTACGTATTGCATCTGGCGACTGCGTCGACTCGTGAAGCGGCAACGGTTACAGCCCCCAACCTGCTGTCTTTGCTGCTACAGGGTGCGTGGCGCTGCGAGTCTGTACACTGCGACGCCAGGGCTACCAACGACGAGCAGCGGCAGCAAAGATGCTGCCAAGAGGCCCCTCACCTTTGTGATGCCTCCCTATAGGCTGCCGCAACAGCCGCAGGAACCACAGCAGCAGCAGGCAGAGGGTAGTGAGCAAGGGCCTCCACACAGTGACAGTAATCTGCATGAAGCAGCAACAGATGCCCTTGCCCCGGAAGATACAGCGGTGAAGGGTAGTGAAGGCAAGGAGGGGTGTCGCGTGCGCGCTGCATCTTCGGAGCCGCCGCTCTGTGAGAGCCACGGCAGGACTGCAGCAGAGGAGGAGCAGCGGAAACACCAGGGACACCAGCAGCAGCAGCAGCAAACAGCATCTAAGGGGGAACCTCCAGTAGAGAAGACTGAGCCACTTAAGCGGCCGCCCCTATGCTCAAACAATGCTTCCGCCCAATGCTCTACCGGTGCCCCTTCCCCCCCCGAAGCTGAAGCAAATGCACTGCTTTTCCGTGAGGGACAGCACAGGCAGCCGGAGGCAGCGCAGCAACAGGCTGTCCAGATGAATGGCGTGGAGGAGACTGTTGGCGAACAGCAGCCACACTCCGAGGTCACTTCCTCCTCTGCTCACCACCCGCAGCAGCAAGAGCTGCCGCAGCAGCAAGACCGGCGGAGAGCAGCGGAAGCGGAGGGCTATGGAATGGTAGCGCCGATGCCTGCCCGGGACTGGGACAGCGAGCTGGCTGAACACCCTTTTGGCGAGTCTCCCAGAGAACGGCAACAGCTGGTACTAGAGGGCGGCGCATTAGCTGCCCTTCCGCCTGAGCCTTATCTGCAACCGATAGACGCTGCCGCTGCAGCAGTAGCTCCGCAGACAACTGAGGCAGCACCTGAATATCACCGAAGAGAAGCAAAGCGCATATATACCGAAGAAGCTCCCGCCTCGCAGCAAGTAGTTGCTATCCCCTTGCAGCAACGGAATGCTGAAGAGGGGCTACTGAATTCAGATCAAGAGATCATCTCTTCCTGGAGCGAGCAGCAGCAAGACCAACAGGCGCAGCAGCAACACCAGCAGCCACCTCAGCACCGGCAGTGTGCCGAGCTGCCTCCACAGCACGACGTTTCGTCTTTTCGTGAGCCAGGCGGCTCAAGCAGCAGCAGCTGCACCACAGGTGCCTCGCCAAAGTTGGAGGGTCATCTGCGCAGAGAAACAGATGCCCAAGCCAATCTGCGTTCCAGAAACAGTCCGAAGACTTCTCCGCAAGGTGCGACGGCATCCGCTGCTGTTGCTGCTGCTTCTGTTCCTGTTGGTGGCGCTCCTGCTCCTACTGATGCCCGTGAACAGCCCTTCCACAGAGCCGCTTCGTTGCATACGGGCGAGGCGAAAGCGAAGGCAAGCTCCCACCGCCAGACGTCGGAGGTTTGGGGCTCCTCCCTCTCTCGCCCAACATCCCTTCAGCAAGAACAACACCTGCTGCGGGAACAGCAGGAGGGGCAGGAGCACCACAAGGTGCCGCAGGACGTTGAACAGCAGCGGCAGGAGGAGCAGCTTCAGCTACTGCCGCAGCAGCAATATCCAGGGCAGCAGCAGCTGCACCAAGGCCTGTTCATGGAAGACATCCTTCCTGGATTTGCACGCGCAGTGCAGGATCTGGAGAAGAGCAGCGCAGAGACGCTGCGGCAGCTGGCTGCGCTGCAGCAGCAGGTGGGGGTGCTGCGCTCTCGCAATGCCTGCCTCACATCAAGCATTCAACAGGTGACTGAGCAGCTTCTGACGGGGGAGGGCCCTATGGTGGAGAGGCAGCGGGCAGCAGAGCTTCTTCAGGACGCCCTTGAAGCTGCTGCTGCCGAGTTCCCCTCTCCTATCGGCGACGACTCTGAGCTGCAGCCGTCGCCGACGTACAGTGCTGTCTCCGATGCGGAGGCAGCGTTAGAAGAGGCCCAAGGTGCAGTATCTGCTGTACGTCCACAGTTGCTAGCCTCCATGCTTTACTATTTATCGTAGCAGCGCAATTGAGTGGAGGCCGGAGGCATTGCTGCTTCATTCGGCCCCACGTTAGGTAGCAGATGCTCTGGCAGCCCCCACCCTCGCCTTGAAGCAGTGCTTCATCCCACTTTGCTTGCTTTGTTGCTGAACTTGGCGCTGCGGCTGCAGCTGTAACGGCGCGCGGCTCTTGGGATTCCAGCAGATCTCGCAGTCTAGACGACGCTTCCGAGCTGCTTGTGCTGCTGGTGATGGCATGTTGTGTGCAGCTGACGCAGATGCTAGTGGAGCAGATGGAGAGAAACAGACAACTGCAAGAGGAAGACATGCACTTCGACGCGGACGTTGTACAGTTCATCACGCAGCTGCAGCAGCAGCATGGATCTCTCGAGCCGTTCCTGCAGCAGCAGCTACTTCTGCAAGGAGCGCATATGGAACAGCAGGAGAGTCTGACAAACCTGAAGCGCATGCACGATGAACTCAGCAGACGCATGGAGGAGAGCTGTGCTCGAGCGGCCGATTTGGAGGGACAGCTGGCCTTGGCTTACGAGAAACGGCAGCAGGTGCAGCAAGAGCTAAACAGGTCTCAGCTGGAGTTGCACCACAACCAGGACCTGCTCCAGCAGGCACAGCATCAAAATGAACTACGCGCGGACGAGCTGCTCCAGCAGTCGAAAGGATGGCAGGAGCAGCTCGCTGCTTCGGAGCAGCAGTTGGCAAACCTGCAGCAAGAGACGGAGCAGCAGAAGACGCTTCTGGAGGAGCTGCAGGAGCGGCTGGCGGCCGCATCTGAGCGCGAAGCAGCGGCCACTGCTGCCAGAGCAGTTGCCGAAGCCGCACGGGAGGAGGCGGAGAGCCAGGTGGGGAGGATGCATTGATTCCCGAGAGAAAGGGAAAAGAAGTGCCTGGGGGCGAGTTGCTTGCCTTTTCGCGCACTTCAAGTCTTAGCGGCTGCGTTTCACGTAGTGCCGTAGCAGCAGGTGACGCGCACCGCTCAATCAGCTGCTGGCTCATCCTTGGGCTACTGAATTTTCTAGTTGCCTTTCGACAGAACTACTTAGCCTCGGTGTTCTGCTGTGGAGTAGGTAGAAGTGTTGCTGCGGTTATTCGTGTGGATTTGCCCTTGACTCACCAGGTTGCGCGAGCAATGCTTACGAACGAGCAGCTGCAGCAGGAGCTGCAGCACCATCAAGAACAACAGAACCAGGTGGAGATTGTCCTGAAGGAGAAGCAGGATGCTTTGGACAGGGCTTCGAACATGCAACAGCTGCAGCACGAGAAAGATTTGCAGCAGCGCCAGCAGCAAGAAGGTAGGGTGCAGTTGCCATTGGCCTGAGTGCTGCAGAGGAAGACGTTTAGGCTAGTGCTCTGTAGTTGCACTTTCCAAGAAGACAGCAGATTTGGTGTGCAGAAGCAGCTGGTAGTGTATTTTATGCTGCAGTGCTTATATCTTTGTCTGTGGGCTACAGGTCTGGAAAGGCAACTGCTGGCGCGGGAATTCATGCTGGAGCAGCTGCAACGGGAGTTAAATCAGCAATTGACAAGGCAGCAACAGCAGCAGCAGCAGCACAAGGCCGAACTGGAGATGTTGAAGCAGCAACACTCAGCGGAACTGCAAGCGCTCGCTGGGGAGCACGCAGCAGTCCTCAAGCAGGAGCGTGAGCATAACCAGAAGCTGGTGGAGGAGGAGCAACGCATCACGGCTGCGTGCCACGACGAAGTAGAGCGGGCGCAGCAGAAGGTGGATGCGCTGCAGCAACAACTGGCTCAACAGGAGGAGCAGCACGAACTCATGACGCAAAGACAACAGGAGGATTCGGAGCAATTTCTACGCAA